TGGTTGTATTAGATATTTTGTACTAAATATTTTATATTATAAGGTAGACAAGTTATCATGTCATTCATTTATTATTATTTGTCATTTTTAATATGATATTACATTAATATATATACACTATATAAAAAAATGTATTGCCGTGTCCGCGCCGTACCCGTGTCCTATATTTTCAAAAAAACCGTGTCCCGTGTCCGTGTCGCGTCGTGTCTGTGTCGCCGTGTCCGTGTCCATGCATCATAGGAGAGCAGAAAGGACACCAGAGTTGAATGGACCCAATGCTGACATATTTATTGAAGCTGCCGAGTAAAGATTTTGGTTCCCCTCTCTCTCTCTCTCTCTCCCTCTCTCTCTCTCTCTCATGCACAGTCACACACACACTCATTCACTCACTCTCTCATTCACTCTATTTCTCACTCATTATATAGAAAGCCTATGTTCAAATAATCATCTATTTAGGAAAAACACGATGATATGTTTATTCCAAGTTTTTTATTCAAGCAAAATCACAAGGATGCATATTTACATAAACATGCAAAGTTCCGTTAAGCTTCCACCATCCCGGCTAACAACAGGTAAACTTATTATCATATGTCAATTTGTAGAATATTTTTCATTTTGAAATGAAGTGAGGCTAGACATGATAAACAAAATTATAGTTTCATGACACTCTCAAAACAATTAAAAAAAACTTAATTTGGCATTACTACACAACTTTTTGGATCAGCATCCAACAAATTGCTATTGTTATAAAACTTTGACAGAAAGATACTTCTAATGAGGTGTTAACTACATATTTCATGCCTTTAAGCTGTTCAAATTCAACATGGATGGCATAAAAAACACCGCTAAGAAATAGCTAGATATAGTATTAGATACTTATTGTACGACTAGGGGTGTAAATGACTCGAGCTCTAGCTTGAGCTTGATTAATTAATCGAGTTGGATCTTGAGCTTATATGAGTTCAAGTTGGCTCATATGTTATGATGGAGAGAAAATGATTATGATTCAAGCAATTCATATTAAAAAAAAGGTAAAAATAATGAGAAATTAGATGAGGAATAAGAAAAAAATACTTAACGTAAGGAATTGAGATATAATTTTTAAATATTTTTAACAATTTTTTTGCTTAAACTCTAGAGTGCATTTTATATTATACTTTTTAAACAAGTTGGCTTGTGAGCTAACGAGTTAAGTCATGGCTGACTTAAGGTTAGCTCAATAGCTCATTGAGCTTGGCTCACGAGCCATTTATCGAGGCAATCCTGAGCCAGTTCATGAGTCGGCTTAACTTACTTACACCGCATGTTCGACTGTGAGTTTCAAAACTCCATTCTACAAATTCATCTATAAAGTTGAGACATGGCAACTTACCAAAGGAGGTTTGGCTTTACAACATGATAAGTTTTTCTATATTAATACTCTTGGAAAGTACATATGCAGGTTAGTGTCACTATATGTTTGTATGACTATACTTTTATTTTCACACTGACAAAGATGAACGAGGATGTTACTTTTAACCATATTAACATACCCTCCCCTTCTCTTCCCTCTATGTATGTCAATAAAAACATTTGCTTCTCTGATTATGTTTGCAACGGCAATATGGTTGTCATTATACATTTATGTTTGTTAATTATGTTTTTTATTTGTGAGTAGAGGTAAAGATGAATGAGGGAACTTCTAGCCATATTAGTATACTTCTCTCCCTCTCCCTTCTCTATGTATGTCAATAAGCACACATGCTTTTCTGATTATGTTTGCATTGGCAGTATGGGCATCATTAAAGATATACGTTTGTTGAGTATGTTTTTATTTGTGAGCAGGGGTAAAGATGAATGAGGGAACCTCTAACCAGATTAGTAATAATTCTGTCTCCCTGATTCTCAATTTATGTCAATAAACACAGGTTTTCTGATTATGTTTGTGAAAGCAGTATGGGCGTCACTATACATGTATGCTTATTAATTATGCTTTTATTTGGGTACAGGAATAGAGAAGAATGAGGGAATTTCTAACCAGAATAGTAAACTTATCTCTCTCCAATTGCTTCTTTATGTATTTCAATTTACATATATTTACAATATTTGCACTGCAAGAAATGTAATTCTCTCTCTTTCTCTCTCTCTCTCTCTCTCTCTCTCTCTCTCTCTCTCTCTCTCTCTCTCTCTCTCTCTCTCTCTCTCTCATGCTCGTAATCCATGATGACAAAGTTTGAAGAGGACATACCTAATTAATTGTTCTTCATATGAAAACATTGACTAGGGCAGTATGAAAAGGCCTAATGGAGTAAGGTCAATAAAACTAGAAAAAAATATAAGAAAAACTATGCTATGCAAGATGACGTCAATCTCTTCAACAAGCCAACTACCCCTAAGCTCATTGTACTAATCTTACCTTCAAATTAAGCAAAATAAATCAGTAGGCTAATCATAGAAACCTAGTAAGCCAGCAAAACAGCATCTAAAGAGATAAATCACCCTCTTAGACAAGGTCAATTCATGCAATAAAAGGGAAATAGATTCTGTAAGCAAATCCACGCGGTCCGACAAATCAGAGTAATATCTTATAAATGTACCGAAAACCAATGCCGAAAAACCACGCACATAATTAAGAACGCAAATAATTCAATAAAATTCAGGTATCCAAATCCTAAACCTCGTAATAGCAAAAACCAGAGAGCTCGATCTGGGAAACAAAGGACAACAAAAGCTCAATCAATTAGAAACCCTAACACATAGATGCATTCCCAAACCAAGAAGTTTTCAAAGAAAATTGATCCAATCAACGTGAAGGGAGGAGGATACCTTTCCTGGCCCGCAGTGTCCCAAATCTGGGCCTTAACGATTTTGTCGTCTACATGAATGCTCCTGGTGGCGAACTCAACGCCGATGGTCGATTTAGACTCGAGGCTGAACTCGTTTCGCGTAAACCTGGACAAAAGATTGGATTTACCCACGCCGGAATCCCCAATCAGCACAACCTTGAAGAGGTAATCGTAATCGTCTTCTGCTCTGTAACCCATTCCTCCTTCTCCTTCAGCCGTTCCACCTTAAGCTAAAATGATCCGACCTTCGTAAGCCTCCGCCGCAGCTAATCAGCAGAAGTATCGCGTCTCTGCTGCCTCCGCTGCTAGACTTCCTCCCATCGCCGCAGATCGAGATCGCGATCTAGGAAGCGGTAGAGAGAGAGAGAGTATTAGCAGCTTGTCACGAGAATCCGATATCATATTAATATGAAATTTCTCCAAGAAATTGGTCTGTTAGAAATATATTCCAAATTTCATTTAAATTAAAATATTCTTTATATATATATATATATATATATATATATATATATATATATAGACAGAGACCAGAGTCATTAAATAATTCTACAATCTTTCAATTATAAGTATCATAGAGTTAGGCTTTTTTGAGACTATTTTTTAATGATTTCTAAAATAAATTTGTAGTATAAAATTTTTTAAACTAATTTTTTTAATATAAATCAATGTTAAGAAGAACAAGAAAGGTGTCCCAAATGAAGCTTTAGATGTGTATTCAATGCAACACTTAGGCTTCATTTGAGACGGCTTTTTTACTGATTCTTAAAACGGTTTTATAGTACAAAATTTAAATTTTTTATACAAAAAAGTTGCTTTAAGAAACAGTAAAAAAGCCGTTCCAAAACTTCGTTTGGTATGGCTTTCTTACTGCTTCTTAAAGTAGCTTTTTAGTACAAAAATTAATGAAGCCTTAAATGTATATTTAATGCAACACTTAAGCTTCGTTTGGATTTGCTTTCTTTCTGCCTCTTAAAGCAGTTTTTTAGACTAAAAAGTTGCTTTTAGAAGTATAAAGAAAGCCGTCCCAAACAAAGCCTTAGCCTTCGTTTGGTATGGCTTTCTTAATGCTTCTTAAAGCAGTTTTTAGTACAAAAATTATAATTTTTGTAACAGTAGAAAGCTACTTTAAGAAGCAATAAGAAAGCAGTCCCAAAAAAAGCCTTAGATATACCTAATTTTAAAGAAAAATATTCTTGACAATACTCATGATCTCTTACAATTCTTCAAAAGTCATTTATGCATAGATTTATTTCATTAATGTAATTCGCAAGTCTAATGATCATTTTGATATAAAAATTAATCTTTAACGCATATTTATCTTTTTATCAAATTAAATTGAGGAAGTTTGTTATGAATGTTGTGAATTTCCACATTCATTCTCTTATAACCAATTTACATAATTTATTAAATGAATTGTATTGTATTATAGCTATTATGACTACACTTTGTTATATCACCTAGAAATAATCCATAAATCGAACAATGATTGAATATCGATCAAGCACTAAATTAATATTAATAGAGTGTTCTTTATAACATGATCGAACCTCCTTTGAACCCTCTTTGATCCACAAATGTTTAATGATCACATCATTTTCGTGCTATGATTGAAGTGCGATCAAATTTTCTGTGAACCTTACTCAAATCATATACAAATATATCTTAAAAGCTGAACACATGATTCATCATAGACATTGTCTTTCCTTTCTATTTGAAATGGCTATGAGAGGATTAATTATTATGTGCGGACGTCAAATATCGTCTGGAGACTAATCATAATGCGTCACATCACCCATTCGCTCGGTACCGTGGCTCGTTACTGCTCAGTACTGCTGACGTGACGCATTCTGGTTGGTCTCCAGATAGTATTATGCATCCGGCCTCTGCACAGAATAATTAGGAGAGAGATCATTATCATGGGAGCATGTGAATTTTGCATAGGCATTGTATGGACTCATAGGACAACATTGGTAATTTCTCTTGAGATTTGAAGCAATGGAGCTATAGTTGGATTTCATATGGAGCACTTTTTGGGCCACTATTTAATTTTCCCAAAATTATTTATCTTGATAAAACCTCTAAAATTATTTGCATAAATTTTAGCCTTCTTGATAGAAAACTAGACTATATTATCTAATATTTAAAAGTAATATAGAACTCAAATTAAATCCAAACAATTTTAATTTTTTATGAGAAGATTTTGAGGTCATCCTTGACCTTAGAAAATAATTTCACAATTTTTATGATAATTTAGATATTAAATAATAATAATCAAGTTATAGCTTAATAAGAAATAATTAATAATGCTAGAAATTAACAAATTCATAAATAATTTAAGAAAAAACATAAAAATACAAAAAAAAAAAAACTTTAAAAAATGTATATAGATTCATTAAATAAAATATTGGGAATTCCCATATATTTGGAAGTTAATCTTTTTCATTTTCTAAAATCTTAAGAGATTTTCCAAATCATTATTAAGAATAGTATTTGTAAAATTTACTAATTCCTTAAAATTTATAAAATTGATTCTAAGTAACATTAGCAATTTATGAATTTATTTCTATAACTTTGAGAACCAATCAAATATTCAAAATTCATTGAAAATAAAACCCACCTCTTTCAAAAATATTAAATAGTCATAAAAAATACCAAAATTTAACTTCATAGAGAGTGAATGTCATGCATTCAGAGTATTGTTTTAAACATTAAAACAAAATAAAATCCTAAACTCTAAAAATCTCAAATAATTTATTTAAAATAATTATGAATTTAATTAAAATCACCTTAAAATTAAATTTTATATTTTAATTAAAATAATAAATAAATAAATAATAAAGTGAGACACTCACATCCTAACATGCACTTGATAGGACACCAATCTTAACCCATCCATGATATGTTTATTTTTTTCAATAATTTATTTGGTGCTTATTTGTGATATTTTGGTGTAAATAATTGTTTGCATTTAGCCAAAACTCTTTTTTTTTTTATATATATAGAATTAGTCAGGGCTATATGTAATAAAGCCAAGTTGTCTTTCACAGTTTATATTTTATATTAGACTTATGGTTCGTTTTGGACGACTTTTTTACTGCTCTTAATGAACTTTTTTTTTTGTATAAAAGCTAAATTTTTTTACTAAAAAACTGCTTTAAATAGTAAGAAAATCATCCCAAACAAAGTCTTAGATTTTATTTGAGACCGCTTTTTCAATGTTTCTTAATATCAATTTTTAGTAAAAAATTTTAATTTTTATATCAAAAAATTGCTTCAAAAAATAGTGAGAAAGAGTCCCAAACCAAACCTTAGATTCCTAATACTATCTTAGAGATGGTTCTCACCTTTATTGCATAATATGAGGTAAATAGTACCTTGAATGATATATTACAAGCCCTTCTCTGCTAGGCATTTTCTAAATTTTATATTGATAGAATATAAGTACCAAACTTTTAATAAAATGAATAAATCAAACTCTACATTCAAATTTCAAAATATTAAAGGCCAATGTAAGACAATTTAGAACATTTTTTAGCTTATCAAAAATATTATGTTCTCTACTTTTTTTTTTTATCTTTTGACTTTTAGGAAAAAAATAGGACTTCCATCTAATCTTATCACAATGTGACACTTCCATTTCAGGATAAAAATGCAAAATTTCCAATTTTTATTAACAGAGAGCAATTTGCTGAAACCCTTTGTGAATTCCAAAAAGAATATAAAAAACAGAAATTGCATATTTCTTAAAAAAAAACTTAATTCAATGGTTTGATTTTGAATAAGATGAAATAAAAAAAAAGACATGCAAATTATATATTTTCAACATGTGCTAATTAAGATTTTTTCCCCTTCAAATTTTAATAGTGGAAATGGAATGTGCAAAAGCATGAGTAATGTAGTAACCTAAGCAATATTATGAACCATTGGAGATTCGGACTTCGTTTGGTATAGCTTTAAACCGCTGCACTTTTTTTACTTCTAAAAAATTTTTTAACTAAAAAGCAGCTTTTCAAAACAGTAAAAAAATCATTCTAAATAATGCTTCAAATAATCTGAATATCCAAGAACAATTAAATAGAATTGGCTAACAATGTTCGTTTTATTTGTTAAATATAGTGCCTGTAATTATAATATTTGTTATTTTACAATACAAATAATTATCAATAACTATTTTGTTTCAGGATATGCAAAAATTTTTTTTTGAAAAAAAACCTAAATAATAAATAAATAAGCTTTAGGCTTCATTTGAAACAACTTTTTCGCTACTTTATAAAACAACTTTATAGTACAAAAATTTCTAATTCAAAAAATTTTTATACTAAAAAGCCGTTTCAGAAAGCAACAAAGAAACTGTCCCAAACAAAACCTTAGTGCGGCAGGAGAAAGTAAAAAAATCTATTGTTACAATGAGGAATCATCTCAATCTTTAGGTTTATTTCTCATCATCTTCCTTCTGTTGGCATCAAGATATCTTTTTCTTAGTCGTATAACCTTAGGGGTAACCTGTGTGAACAAAGTGGAAAAAAATCCAATCATGATAAAAGGAAAAAAAAAATTGTAGTCATTAGATTTACTTTGAGATTAGTGCAACATAAAATCTTTCTATATAACACTGATTTTAAAATAAATCCAATAAATTTTTAACCTATTCTAATAATATTTATATCAGGCTGCGACATAATGTTTTTTCTTAGTAAATATTCAATTGATACATTCAAATTATTTCACATTATAAATTCAATGATATTCATAAAAATTTGAGACTTACCTCAATGAACTCATCAGAGGCGACATATCCAATTGCTTCCTCCAGAGTCATCTGCAAAAATTTAAAATTTTAAAAAGTTCAACGGTATCGAATTGCTTCTGAATAATGCTATACATCACAAATAAATTTAGGATCTTGGATCCTCATAGTTTAGGCCAAAAATCTTATATTAGAGTAAGTAAAAGTTCTGATATCAAATAAAAAAATACTTTATATTGAATATGAAGCCTTAGATTCTCCTAAAACCTTCCTAATCTACTCTTTTGGCTTGTGCGGCTCGTATAGGAGTCGGAGAGGTTCTAACTCTGTTCCGCAAGAGCCAGTCCCGTGTGGACCAGTCTAACAGCAACATATTCGATGTAATCTCTTGAATTAACAAGCAAAATCTTTGCAAATGATAGGTTTGTAGGTCAATGAGTTTAGCTCCTAATATCATCGTGCTTTAAATAAGGGTAGGTAATGTTATTTTGATCTAAATGTGAAAAAGAAAAGCCTGCATTCTTGACTTGCAAATGTCTGGTTTCATTAAATTGTTGTTTCTACCAATGAAACTTTTTTTTGGTCATCTAATTACCATAATCTTTATGGTTATGAACATGTCTGTTTGAAGGTTCCACTTCAATTTTCACTAACAGAATAGTTGGATACTTTGAGACAACAGTCCAAATTTCATTATACTATAGGCAATTTTCAGTTCTGTGTGACAGATACAAGATGCAAATTAACATACACATAATTGAATATTCTACAACACATCTAATAAGATGAAGAGCAATGATTTATAGTGTCCGGCACATCGCACGCAGGTAGATCTATGGAAAAGACGCATTGCGAAAAGAAACTTACCAAGCGAGGTGGTGATAATCGAACATTTTCATCTTTTCCAGGAGCTCTGATGTTTGTAAGTTCTTTTGTTCTTACAGGATTTACCTATACAAGAAGCAAATATGACAAAAATTGTGGCCATATAACGGCTAAGAAGTAGCATGAGAAGCTGAAGAGTCTAAACGTCTTACATCAAGATCAGCATCCCTTGAATTCTCACCAACTATCATTCCATCATACGTCTTCAAACAGGAAAATAGAAGAAAACATAAAAATTTATAATCTATCGATAATCTAAGGATAAAAGATAATGCTGAAGGAAGAAACCTCCATTCCAGGAGACACAAAGAGAGTGCCTCGAGCCTCCAAACTTGTGAGGGCATGAGCAGTAATAAGTCCACGACCAACTGACACCTACAAGAAACAATTTGGGCTACATTGCTACAATTTTCAATAAAATGGGGATAAGAAGTCAAATTTGAGATGTGAATCGTGCTTTTACGAAAAATAAATGTCATGTTTTACACTATTATAACTGAGCCAAATAAAAATAAATGATAATATCTGCATAAAACACTTCTACAAATTTAGCTGCGATTTCTATTAAGTAACCATTCTAATGACAAAGAGATAGCAGTAGTTGATCTTAGGCTTCGAGAATTGGCACCCCAGCTCCACTGAGAGAGTCTATAATCATGCACCACAGTGCAAGGAGAATATCCAAATCATGATATTTATTCTTTTGTTTTTATACATAAGCATTTCGATTTAACAGTTATATATATTTAGGTTTAATTTAAATCTAAATATATACACATATTAGATTTATTATTAAAATAATAATAATAAATATTAGATTTATTATTATTATTATTATTATTATTATTATTATTATATAATAACAATAAATAATAATAATATATACACATTTTTTTAAATTTCGTTCTAATTGTGAATTGAGTATTGACTCACCATGCCAGATTTTAATCGCTAGTGTATGTCAAACTTCATCATTGCTTCATGTGCGTGGGGAATTTCCATTATTTCACTTGTCCAATGACCCGGGGATATAGGTATATTTTTGATGCATTTTGAGCATTGTGAGCGCATCAACGCTCTATTTTGAGAAATGGATAATGATTGGATAATAATGAGTAAATTCACATCCATCGTTCATCAAGTTTTGTTGCGCAAGATTGAATCGAACACGATGATCCCTTCTTGATAATTTCAATGCTCTAAAAAATTGACACAATATGTTTTCATGAGACAAAAAACATTTGAATATTTTTGCCATATGCAGGCCACCTTGAAATGGTTTTCCACAACCGCATACCCGCCATTCTTCATTCTCCTAAGGTTCGATCAAATTGAGTAATGAAATAGGTATCAAGGTCAACATTGTCTTTTGCTAAACTAACTCAACTTGTTTTCGCACCACTTTCCATCTTATTCCTAATACATCAAAGCTTACCAAGTATGGTGGCATCCTCAGGATCTCTTTGAAAGTACAATCCCCATACTTATTTTGCAAGTCCCTGAGATATATCATCCCTTCAAAATGACGGATGGAGCAGAGAAAATCTCCTTTTTAGCCATCCACCAACTTACCAAATGCACAAGGACTACATCTATTTGTAAAATGCGTGCAAACAGGAACATGTCCATTTCACAACACCCCCACACCCACAATCATGATTTAATCATTATTTATGATTACTTTTGGGGCATAGCTTCAAGCTCCATCTTAAAATGCAAAATATGAGACTTTCAGATACAGTGGCAATATATTGAGGTTTCATTTTGGAATGGCATATAGTTTTCTGTTTTACGGTCAGAGCTTTTCAGAAACAATATTTCTAAAAAATTCGAAGAAAACAACAAAAACAGACGTCCAGTTTTTCCATCCAAAAAGATCCTGTTTTCTACAGGCTGCTGTTCTTACAACAACACAGATTTTCTTACCACAAAACAAATAGAAAACAGAAAACAAACGGAAGGTGAAAATGTTGAAATCCTCACGTACAAGACTAGCGAGCTCAACTTGAATAGTAAAACTCATGAGCTAAATATAATTTAGAAGGATATATATTATAGAAATCACACATGATAAAAACGTGAAAAAATCCTATGTCAACATATGATTTTTTTGTACTGTCTGGTACTACAATTTTTTGAAAGAAAGAAGCATTGACAACTTTGCTTTCCACGGACTTATACAAGAGCTTCTGGCCGCTGGTGTGGGATGTTCTTTTTGTAGTTTGTTTCAGAGTTCTTTTATAGTGGTGAGGGTTGATAGAGCAAGTAATCAAATCACAGTCATTGCCACCTTATCAAAATAGTAATTCTCGTGTTAAATGCCACAGTTAAAACTCAAAAAAGAAGCTTGGTCAAATCGTGCAAGGCTACTCCCTGCAGACTTCAATCCAGCAGTTGGAGTAGAGACTAAGAGCAAGAAATCAAATCATAGCCTTGTCATCTAAACTAAGTAGTAATTCACTCATAAATGCCACAAAGTTATAACTCTAAATATGTATCGAAAAAAGAAAGCTTAGTCAAATTGTACAAAGCTACCTCCTATAGATTTCAACCCACAGCCCAAATGACATGAGTTCCCTCTCAGGTCAATAAAATCCCTGCATCTATCAAGATGCTAATTTTGATGAGGTTGCCTTCAGAAAATTACTGATGGGGACATCAGATCATCATGGAGAGTTTATCAGAGACGTGGCCGACGATCTACGGCCACGATCGAGTCTTTATATTTTTGAGTCGTTGATGTATTTTATTTTCATGTAGCTTGTTATTTGCTTATGTGGCATTTAATTCAAATTCATTTGAATTTGAATTCAAATTATTTCCTAAATTGGCTCTTTTATTTTAGGAAAGTTTCATAATTATGTCAATTTGAATTTCAAATTTAAATTGAATTTAATTGAAAACTTACCTAATTTTCCTAGCCTATTAAATCTACCCTAATTTCCCTCCTTGATTTTCTCCCTAGCTTCTATTGCCGCCGGCCCCATCTATGGAGTTCATTAGGATTAGTTTCCTAATCCAACCATCCTCCAAAAGAAATATTTCTTAATTCTTTTATCATTGATTTGAACGGATTCCCTCTGTTTCTAATTCCCTCAATTAATTCTATAAGCTTATGAATTGATTGAGGAAATCAAAACCTAATCCTCTGTTTCCCGCCGTCTCCCTCCTCCCTTTCCTTTGCTTTCTCCTCTAGCCTCTTACCCCTCTCGCTGCCTCTCTCCTCTCGTGAAATGCCCTCTTACACTTTGGACTTAATCAATGCCCAACTAGTCCCCTCTCACATTATAAGACCTGGAATTTTCTTCTCAGATTTTAGCCAGAAAATCTGAGAACTTTTTCTTTCCAGATTTTAGAAGGATTGGGACTATTATTTCAGCCAACTACGAAGAGAACAACTTAGTGCGTTGACCTTGGATATTCGTCAAAGAGAAGTTGCTATCGTGGGGGATCTCCACATCTCCTTGAGCAAAGGTTTTTTTTCCTTCTTCACTTGCATTCAAAGTCTTCTAAAATCTAAATTCTTGTTTGGTTAAGATTGCAATCGCTAAAGCCTACTCCAATTGCTCTTGCTAAACTTAGTAATAGTAGGTTTGAGTGTGCTTTCTATGCATCCTAACTCTTGTTGTTAGATTAGGGATTACATTGAAAACTACTACTTTGCGTTGTTTTACTTATCTTAATTATTTTGAAAATTTTCAACGCTTGGAGCATGTGATTTAGCCTACGCAAAGCACCCCTTTAACTATTTTAATCGACGTTGTGAATTGCTCATAATTTTATTCCTAAATTGTTCTAATCAAAGAATTGTGCAATGTTTAAAATGAAGCCAGAAACACATCCTCTAAGTAGTCCTGCATCAATCAATTACATTATATACAACACACACACACATTATACATCTACTGAATGTTTTCTATCTCAAGTGAAAAGGAAACCCGTCAATTTAAAAGCTTTGAGCCAATCATATGTTTCACTAGCAAAGCTATCCCTCCATGAGAACTACGGCCCTGCATATAAGAATAGGTAGGACACAGGAAGATGGCTAAATTCTAAAAAAGCATTAAGTGGTTGTATTACTCTGAGAGTCTGAGTTACTTAGAATTCAGTGTTTCTAAATGACGTGAAAATTGTTTAAAGGCTGCTTCGCTGAGTACCTTTTCCTAATAAGTAAAAATTGCACATCATAAAGATATTGTATAGCATCGTTTGTTTTGTTGACAAACATTTATATGGTAACATCAAAGCTTTTTGAAATTGACCAAAATTACGTATAGGAAAGATTTATTATTCTGATCTCCTCCATAATCTAGTCCTCCTCTGACATTGCAATACATATCCAATAGCGGGTATGAGTCATCTAAAATTACATCTGTAAATGCAGAGGTGCAGTTATAAGATTCCAAATGTCTGATACACTTTGGACAGCTAGGATCCAATAATCAATCTATTTTTATTTTTCAAAACTACTCTGATTTTGAGGGAATTTAATGCCAATCACCCAAAATGAATCGGATGGCTAAGTTCCTAAAATTACAGCTCTATGATTACAGATGAAATTGTAGAGGATTAGCGCCCATCCTCTAGTATATCTTCCTACGAATATCTTATTCCACAATCATCAGGCAATTGCTTCTATCAAGGCTCTAATAAAGATACTAAATAACCACCTTCTAATTCATCTTCCTTAACCTGTTTTCTCTCACTAACTCCATAAATCAGTTGCCGTTGTTAGTTCCCCCACGTATGGACCTCTATACGCCTCTTGTGCACTTGCATTGGGCAGGTTTATCCTGCAATTGCAACTACAGCTTCCTGAATCTGGGTAGCCTGCAATGAAAACATCATTAAATAGATGATCCTTTTCAATCAGAAAAGAGAGACTGCTGTTGGTGGGTGGGAAGGTTTGGAATCGTGAGAGATGCCATAAAAGATTTATTAGAGAATCATGTCTCCCTCTGTCTAGCACTTCACAAGAGAGATATTTACTAGAGGAATCGCTGTCTTGTTCTGCACAACAGAAAATCTGCTAGAAGAAGGAACAATGTTCAAACTGATGACAGCATCCTGAAAAAAAGATTGCTAGGCACACAGGATTATTTCCACTCTTGCCGTCAATAGATTGTTATAAACCAAGCTAGGAGTGACACCTCAATAATAGCATTTTAGCAAACAAAAGAACCAGATTAAAATTCGATCAATGTACCAGTGAACAAGATAACCTGGAGTCTCATTTTTTTAGTTTTAGCGATGCAGAAACACTAACAAAGAGAATTAGATAATGAAGAAGGATCAAAGAAGCAAGAACATACCAATACACCTTTCCTGACATTTCCAAGTGGTCCCTTGTACTTGGAATATTCTGCATACATATCACATTCAAAGAATAAGAAAGTGAATCCCAACTCAAACCTCACTATATACATAGGTTAAATTTATATATCATATTAAATATTATTCTTATTACATATTTGTAAATTTAATATTATAAATTTATATATTATATTAAAAATTTAATTTTTTATAATTAATTTTTAATAATATTATTATTTATTACATCATCAGGTTCGACCCCAGTTCGACCGACCGATCGAACCGGTCAAACTTTGAACCTCTCCTTCTTCCGATTCGTTGTCAGGTCCGGTTTTCACAACCTTGGCATTAAGTTCCAAAAATTACTTTGCATAAGAAAAAGATGAGCATAGGCAGAAGAAAAATTACAAGACAAAAAAAAAGCAAATAGGTTAAAGAATAAGAAACCATTATAAATAACTGAACAAACTTACTAAGAAAAGCACGATGCATAAATCCACTTCCACGGGTATCGGTGCTGAATACACTTCTATATCCAACTAAGCCCCTATAATAGTCCACAAAAATTAATCCTTCAGCATTTTCTCTCCTCATTTATTTGAACGGTTGAAAAGTTTGAGAGAGACATTATTAAATGATATAAGAATATTCATTAGTAAATATCACTTAGCAGACCTATTGAACCATAAGAAAAAGGAACAAACAGACAAGATTAGCTAAAAATTTATGGAGTTTGCCATCCAATAAATATATAGCTTATGCATGATAATAAGAAAAGAAGTATCATGATTAATGGTTCAAAAATACAATAGCAATCACAGTGAAACGGTGAAAAAATGCGGTTTCCTTAAAAGACACGCAAAACTCAAAGTAAAAACTGAAACTAAGGAAATGAAAATAAAAATTAAATGATGCATTAGCTTATCCTCTAACGTAAAATTAAGAAAAAAAACCTAATTAATGGTAAATATAAATGGCCAAACAATAGCATCCTCCAAAGATTTAGCTGATAAAATAGAAGTTCAGCAGAATAAAATTACCAACCTAGAGGGGCATGTAAGTGACATTCTGGTTCTACCAACATTCCCTGGAACAGGACCCATGTCAACCACCTCACCTCTCCTATGTGAAAGGGCCTCCATGACGAGGCCAACATGCTCTTCATTTACCTGAAATGGCAATTCAGTCAATTTAGAAAAACAAAAAAGGTGAAAGGAACTAGGGTGAAGGGAACTTTCTAATGACATCTTGCACCTCAATTGTCACTTCCTCTACAGGCTCTAGCTTTTCACCATTCTCAGTTTTATACCTGGATCCATAAGAGAAAGCATTCATGTCAAACACTCAAACAATACACGAGCACCATAGTTGTGTGGTTTGGGCATGAGCAACTAAGAATAGAAGACATCAAGAATACAAGGAGATTGAATTAGTGCTAAAGGAAAAGCAAGGGCAGGTCTAGAATAAAGGTCCACTAATAGAAGTTGTACACAAAAGTTTGTGCATAATGCCACATTAAGCGCACATCAAGAAGGAATGAACTAGGATGCATAAAGTTGACCCCAAATAGTTAGGGTAAGACTAATAATTATATCCAATGAAGTTTAAAGGAAAAAAATCAACTTACAGAAGGCAGGTGCAAAACTGATATAACAGCATGGAATTTATAGCAATAAAATATCCAAATCTAAAGACATAGAGATCAGCCAAAACAAATTACTATGTGAACAACAACAGTAAACCACCTCATGGATTTTCTAAATGCGAATAAAGTGCTTTTACGAAGAGTATAGCATCATGGCTTTTCAAGTAGGAGGAAACTATGTGAACAACAGCAGTAAACCAATTAATTATCATTATAAAAAAGCATCAGAATAATAATATTAGTTTTTGGGTCTATCTGTTGGGTGATGCAGGAATTTCTACAAAAGCAGCTCGCTAAAAATGCCAAAAAAAAAAAAACTATACAAATCTAATTGGAGAGAAGACCTTTCTTATACATTACACATGCATGATCACTCAAGACTTCAAAACGGACATGTTGATAAAGTTAGTTTATTAACCAAATTTCCCTTAATCCTATATAAAGGTTTATTTAGATATAAGGTCAAGACTTCTTATAAGTGCAAGCCTGGAAAGTTAGTGAAATACACCTCCCACTCGATTAAGGAGATTGCTTAGGTTCAATTTTATATTTAGATTTAGTAGTTAGATGTAAATTTAATTGAGTGGGGAATTCTTGAATTGATGAGGAAAACCAAATCAACATCTCATATTTCCGTCATCCCAAAGATACCAATTGATCTACTCTTCCAATGTCCTAGGATTTTGAGCAATAACTTTCTTGGAGCCTGATTAGCAACCAAGGGTTGACCCTCTCAAGTGTCCCAAGTAGATTGCGATGGAAAAGGGAAATGCATATGTGCATCAAAGCTTTCAAGAATGATATCAATTCATTAACTAACAAACGGTTGGCCGAAATTTCCTCTGGTCTGTTTCCTGACTCCTCCACCCATATCTCTAATTAATTCCTATTTCACTTCCTCAATTCCGTAACTCTCACCTAGCTGAATTTGTGTTTTGCTTGATTTATTCCAAAAGGGAAACCCCTTGTTTGGAAACAAATCCCATTAGTTACTCCTCTCCAAAGCCACCGTGCCACCCCGGGAGAATGATGCGGACATCCAACCGTCCATGCTTATCCGAGGAGCTGAAGATCGAAAACCGAGATCACTTTGTTTTATTTTAGTTTATTAAGTGTATTTTGATTTAATTTTACGATTTCCCTTTTTACCCTTTTGTCTTATGTAAGCCCAAGGGGCTAATATGTCTTTTAATTTCTTTTGAGGCCTATATATAGAGGCCCCTTCTCTTGTATTTGGTATGATGGGTTATTAATAAAAAAAAATTTGCGTTTTGCACTTGGGTTCTTTGGGAAGAACGTTAGTGAAATCCCTATGGGAGGGAGTCGGAGTTTCCACCAGCCGCAGGATGGGTCCGGGCTCATGGCGTGAAGTCCCTTGGAGAAGGGCAACGTAGTACCCGTCAGCCGCAGGATGTGTCCGGGCTCGCGGTTGTATCTTTGATATTTTGTTTATTTGCTTTTGTTCCTTCTTATTGCTCTTCGTAGTTATCTTCATCTTCTTCCTCCTCCCCATCTTCGTTTGGCCGCCGGATTCTAGCCTCACCCGAAACCCCATCTTTTTCCCCCATGACGGTAATCTCAATATCTTCATGACTTTCCATAATTCACCCTACGAGAAATTAGAAAGGATTTGATTCAAATTTGAAATTCAAATTTTGAATTTCAATTCTTTCCAAATTTGGAAATTCTTATTTAGGAAAGTGTTATGCATGATTCAAATTTAAATTCAAAGAGTTTGGATTTAGTCATAACCTTCCTAATACATTTTTCTTCTTTGGAAACTCCCCAAACCTTGCCCAAATCCCCTCCCTCTCTCTTTACATGCCGCCGGCCACCATGGGTTTTCCTCCCATTAATTCCTCAATTAAAGCATTAATGGCCTCTTAATTTGAAATCAAATTTCAAATTAAGTTCCCCCCAATTTCAATCAAAACTGAAATTAAATTCAGATTTTGAAAATTCCTAAATTCAAATCAATAAGCCTTAAATTTCCACATTAATTCTCCTTGGTTCTTGCTTGGCCGAAACCCCCTCATGCCCCACCTCTTGATTTCTTTCTCAAATTAAAACCTCTCCCTATGGAATTAATGCAATAATTAATTCCCTATCCCTCCACGTGAGAATCTGGAATTACAATTATTTCCTTAAGCTAATTCCTTCCTTGGAAGTATTTCCAAAATCTGAGATTTATTTTTTTCTGGCCGAAAAGCTCCAGGCCCCACTTCCGTTAAATCCCCTTTCCAAATCCTGTTTCCCCTTTGGAATTAAATCCCGGTTTTCTCTCTTAGTCCACCGCCTCCCTCCCCTCTCCTATTTACAATAGATAGCTCCCCAATTCAAGGGCCTTGAGTGGGAAATTAATCTCAACTTTCTCTCCACAATTACTGCTAGATTACTTCGTCCAATTTCTCTACAATCTAGTCCATCGAGATCTGAAAATTCCCTTCAAAATTTTATTGGAAATCTGAGACTGTTTTCCCCTCTCCCCCAAATGTCTGTTTGCTGTCCTGCACCAGAGGAAGGCTGAAACTATTGTTCTGAAGCCCCTTTCACAAGATTTCTTACCTTTGGAGATCTCTTAACTGCTGTCCAAGGATTACGGCAGCTCAACCTTGCTGTCCTGTAGACCAGACAGGTCCTCCCTGCTGTCCAAAGACCCCTAAACCAGCAAGGAAGCGGTCCAAGAAGGCTTCCAAACTGCTGTCCAAGAAACCTAAAACCCCAAAGCTGCTGAGAGATCCTCTCCCTAACAAAGCTTGCTTTCCGTTCTACATCAACCAAATAGTAGGGGTGTCAAAAATGGGTTGCGGGTCGAGTTCTGGTCGAACTCAACAGTGATCCGTTATTGTTCGACAAGCCTGAACCCGACCAGCCTCAGGCCCGGGTCAACCAGACACTACCCGCTTCATGCGGTGACACGGGCATATGGCTTGCTGGCGGCGCGCAAGTGCGGCAAGCAAGGTCGCCGGCTAGACCGTGACTCATGAGGGCTGCGTCGGATTGCTGGTGACTGCGGTCTTAGGTCTTAGGACATCGTCAGGCCACTAGCTAGGGCAAGCCTGTTTCGAAACCTTCCCAGCATGCGGTGACTGCAGTCTTAGGTCGCTGCCATAGCGTTGGGCCGCCGGCTAGGCCGAGAGGGCAACGCCGCAAACAAAACGTCTGGCCGCAATGGGCATGCGAGGGCAGCGGCAGACAGGACAACGCTGTTTGCAGGTCAACTTGAGTTGGTTTTAGGTTTTTAGATCAACCTAAACTCGACCCGGTTTTACAAACGGGTTGGAATTCCGAACCCAACCCATTTCTCAAAAGGGTTGACCCTAACCCAAAATTTTTGGGTTGGGTTCGAGTCGGGTTTTCGTGTCGTGTCAAATATTGACACCCCTACCAAATAGTTCAAAAACACAAAGAATGATCATGCGAAATGGAGAGAAGTTCAATATGACTAGCAATATGTTAGAGGCAACATGAATATTAGTTATTAATGAGTTTTGTTTTCACTTGAAAAAGTGTATCTAAAATATATAAAGGGATAGGTGGATTTAATTTGACCGATGACTTATTGGCAATGGGATTTCAGGTAATAATAATTTGGGATGAAGCTTGTTTTTTTTTTTAAATTTTTTTTTTTTATTTTGGGATGAAGCTTACATATATAGGAAGCTCGAATTTTGATTTAATGGGTTTGTTGGCTTTGTGCCAGCCGAATTAATCAGGATCGGGCATACATCCATTAGAAGACCCATAAAAGAGACTTACAACCTCAACGATAAGAAAAGCCCAATTATGAGTCTAACGACATTACCTTGTAGGTAAGGTAGCCCGTGTTAGCTTTGTGCCAGCCGAATTAATTAGGATCTGGCATACATCCATTGGAAGACCCATAAAAGAGACTTACAACCTCAATGATAAGAAAAGCCCAATTATGGTGATGACATTACCTTGTAGGTAAGGTAGCCCGAATATTTTAGTTTGATGGGCTTGTTGGCATCATGTCAACTGTTAGACCGGTCCAGTGGACCGGTCCAGCTGGTCCACACGGGACTGGCCCAGACGTGAACAGGGCGGAGTTTTTCCGCCTATTGGGATGCCGCGCGAGACGCACGTCGTGCGGGAGTCGAATAGGAAGTTTTTTTGAGAATTAAGAGGGAAATTTGAATGTAGGGACTGTTTAGGGATTTCCTTTTGATTTGTATGCATTAAATAGTTTGTTTTCCTAGGTTTTGGGTATCTGGAATTTCGCTGAAATTTGAGACCACTTCGATTTCTTTTTGGGCTCTAGCGGCGTCTAGAGATTGGGAGAGAACGATCCTCCTCTCGAATAGAGGATTAATTGTATCTTGCTATTTTTCCGTTTTCCTTTCATCAAATACAAATCTACTGCTTTCGTAGTTTTGGCGGACTTTTGTGTAGATTTCTCGCTGTTTTTCGAAGATTGATAGGAAATACTTGAGAACTACAAGTGTTTCCTATCAAATTGGTATCAGAGCAAGTCTTGGGACCGTTCGTGGGCTGTTTTGGACGAATTTCAGCAGCTGGTTTTTGGTCGGGAACAGACAAAGTGCTGTTTTTGTAATCCAAATTCGGAATTTTTGGATTTATAAAAGTTCAGATCGAGATGGCGTCCAAGAAAATTGATGCGCTAGAAGAAAGGCTTGAAGGGG